TAGATTCCGGGAGATTTGAACTAATTTGCGGGCATCAGGGAGACGCTAGCAATATGCGGGAGACTCCCGGAACTTCCGGGAGACTTGGGATGTCTGTCATTCACTAATTGTGTTCACCTGGTCCTCGTTTGCTCCACTCCCTTTATATTGTGCCTCCTTGCTGCTTGTCTTTGCTGGATCGTTGTTTTGTGTTCATGTCCAAGACCTTTCTCAACTATCGTGTCATTTCCAGGTGTGATTTTCCAAAGCTCTCTCTGTAGCTTCTTCCTTGCAGTTTTTGCTTTGGGGTTATCTTAGACTAACTTCCCTTTATTAACTTTCCCTTTTTCCCTTTAGTTTTCTTGTTTTACTTGAGCTATTCTAGTTTTTGTTTGGTTCTGTCTCTCAGATTTATAGTTTGTTTGTTACTTTGCTACTCTCTTTGAGTTATTATTTAGCCTGGGATTTCACTTATCTAATACTTTTACTATTTACTTTAGTGTTTTGTTAGTTTTCTTCTCTTATATGTAAAGGTTTAGTTTTTCAGTTACTTAACTAGTGTTTGCCCTGCCTTGTACTTGCCTTCACAGAAACAAATTGCATTTTAAAATGGAGAATAAAGTTTTTGTAATTTAATTGTAATAATTCAGAATTTTACTGTTTTTCAATTAAACAACTGCAGCATTGGTGAGCTTAGGAGACTTCTTTCAAAAACATAAAAAAATCTTACTGACCCCAAACTTTTTCTGGTATAAGTATTAATAATAATTTCAATATAAATCGATCAATTCAAGACCAATGCAATCTTTTTGCCTCTAAAATACAGATTTTGAGGTAGGTTTTAGAGTAACTTCTTTATTGTTAAAAAAAAAAAAAGTTTAAGCCAGAAATTGAATGTTCAACTCTTGCCACTGCTTCAGCTCCATCCAATTTAGTGTCTTAGGCCCTGTTTACACAAGAATGCTCGCGGGTGAAAACTCTTATCTTAAATACTCTTAAATATTTTATCGGATGTGCCTTTCATTTACACGGCGACGGCGTTTTTGGGCAAAAAAGTGAAACCACCCTCCAGAGTGGAAATCTTAAAAACGCTCCACCGTCGCGTTCCCGTCTAAAGGGTAAAAACGCAAAAGTCTGCTAGACAGTGAAGGTTGGACTTGGTGTTGTTGTGTGGCAGTGCTTCACATTGCCGCCTGGAGTGCATACTACATCGAATTTCACACAGTTTTGCGTCACCATATGCACGCGGATTTCCCACCCATAACGCTCGTCTAAACGCAGAATATTTTTTTTCGTTTGATGTAAAAAATCACCTGAATTTATAAAAGCCTCTGGTAGCAGCAACATCACAACGATCAATTTAAATTTTACAGAGGAACCTGCTGCTCTGAAAAGAACTTCAACTCAAAACAACTAAAGCAAAGCAAAGGTTATGAAAAAGCCAGATGAGCTGCATCAATAAGGTGACATATGAGACAGACAACAAGCTCTTCATTCAAAAGCGAATAATCCACAGCCATAAAGCTGTGCAGTAGTCACGAGAAATGCAGATGTGTATAAGAGCCAGTTTTGTCAGTATAGTTTTGGTGGCTTGGTCAATAAGCATATCAAAGCATACCTTTTGATCAAAGAAATATAGAATTATCTGAACAAATGAATAAACATAACCAACATTATAAAAGTCCCTAATATTTGTATCTTAACCCTTAGTCACTGTTTAAAAAGGACGACGCTTAAGTGGTTTGGGGTCGTATTGACACCAAACTTTTAAAGAGTGATTGCATAAGGAAATATAAATTTTTTATATGGAAAACTATATATATTTTTTTTAATTCACTTCTCAACTATACAATAATGCTGTGTTTTTTGGGAAATTTTTAGGTTTTCTACATATTTACTGCACAATTACATAACTAGGCCATAAATTGGCACATGAAAAATGATTTTTTAAAGAAAAAATCACTTAAATGATGATGATAATTAAATCTAAATAGTTTTTGGACATTGCTCTATGTGTTAGGGATAAAATACTACCATCTGGTGGTTAGTCGAAAAACTGTTTTTCTTACAGTTAAGGAATTATTGTGCAATGACCACATCTGTCCAATAGAGGTCCATAGAGACTCATTCATTTTCCCTTCATTTGTCTTGATGCTTCAAATTCTCCTAACAACTTGATATATATGATAAAAATATTTTATGCAATTCACAAAATATATATGTCAAATTTAGAGTTTGTTGTTGTTGTCTGATATATTTTGAATTATTGTTTTTGCAAATTATTATACATACATTTGCATAAACATTACAAGTCAGCACTATGACATGATTGTAATCACACACTATTTATTTCAGAAAATTATTTATCAAGAATTATTTATTTTTTTAGAACAAGAGATTTTAGAACAAAATAAATTAAATAAACCAAGTAAATAAACCAATATAATACAAAACAACAGCACCAATAAACTGTAATGAACAGGATGCATACATTTGCATACATGTGTGTGTTTGTGTGTGTGTGGCTGTGTGTGTGTGTGAGATAGAAAGCTCGTTCCACTTTGTGTTTATGCTCTAGGACCAGACCTTGATTTAAATATATATTTTTTTAGATTTATGCCAGTTTTGTTTATTTTATTTGCCAATATCTGTAACAATGCTCTCGGTTGCAGTCACATACATGTGTGTGTTTGTGTGTGTTTGTGTGTGTGTGTGTATGAGATAGAAAGTTCTTTCCACTTTGTGTTTATGCTCTAGGACCAGTCCTTGATTTATATGTGATTTTTTTATTTATTTATGCCAGTTTTGATTATTTTATTTGCCAATTTCTGTAAAAAAAATGCTCTCTGTTGCAGTCACATAGATTTGTGTCTGTGTGTGTATGTGTGTGTGTGTGCGTGTGTATGAGATAGAAAGTTCGTTCCACTTTGTGTTTATGCTCTAGGACCAGACCTTGATTTAGATGTCTTTTTTTTTTTTAATTTATGCCAGTTTTGTTTATTTTATTTGCCAATTTCTGTAAAAATGCTCTCTGTTGCAGTCAGGACATGTGTGTGTTTGTGTGTGTGTGTCTGTGTGTGTGTATGAGATAAAAAGTTTGTTCTACTTTCTATTTATGCTCTAGGACCAGACCTTGGTTTATATGTAGAACATTTCAGATTTATAATGGATTTACTTTTATTTTTTTGACAAACAAAATAAAAAAAGTCATTTTTTTCATTTTCCCATTCATTTTCAATTGGGGTCATTTTGACCCCAAACCCCTTAAATGGTAAAAAAAAAAATTACACACCTTTAGAACAACCGAATCGAACCCAGTTTTTTTGTGCATATTTAGATAGATTATGTAGGAAAAGTCACAGAGTTTTATGGCCCTGAGATGAAGGGAACATTTTTAAAAAATCAAGGAAAAGTCCAGTGGGGTCATAATGACCCCAAACAGTGACTATGGGTTAAAAGCACTTCTGTAATTAGATTATTTCAAAAATCAAATGTTAAAACTGTATTTTTTACATTCTGTACAATTATGCAAAAGCAAAATTACAAACTCACGAGAAACTATCAAACCCAAAAAGCTCACAGAAACTGCACCTCATCAATGTCACTAGCTACGTTTACATGGACAACTTTTGAATTACGATTAAAGAATCCGAACGTAGTGTTTACATGAACTCTAAATAAAGTGATGGGGTTGATGTGCGCGTTTTATGTCACAAGCTTCAAATCGGAATTGATTTATTTGGCATGCGCACACTGCACGAATATACAGTTTAACACTGTTTGCGCATATTCCCCTAAATTGCTTCTTTTCTTTGATTTCGGGTCCTAATTAGGAGACATGTTGCTTTTATTAAAAAAGCAGAAAAAACGCCCATTCCCGCACCCAAAACAAGGCGTCTGTGGATGAGAGTCCTAAACAAGGACTGGTGGGACGTTGTCCTGCTCCACTTCACAGACGATGAGTGGAAGGAGAATTTTAGAATGACACGACAGTCATTTATGCCACTATTCAACATCAACAGCTCATTCCTTGCGTCATTATGCCATTTCTACATCATTGCACATGCGCAGTACTTTCCAGTTTCGGTTTTCAATCCGATCAAGTGTTTACATGTCCTCTCGATCGGATTACAAAAAGGTTTCAACCACCCCTTACAATCTGAATGAAATTTTAATTGGATTTGGCCAATTCATTCCGACTGATGTGGTTAGACTGGTTACGTGTGACTTTTTTTTCGGACTGTGCTAGTAGTCCGATTACAATCAGATTATTAGGGTCCATGTAAACACAGCTACTGGATATTAAATACAGACACATAGGATATTAAAAATACATGCCAAAAAGCATGCAGAAAAGATCTTCAGTTGCACCATATGTTTCCAACAGGAACTAATAATGAACATTCACACCACTGACAACACTTTGAACATGTCGAAAATAAAATTAGGCACACAGCACCTTCAAGACAACCAGTTGTTTTAATATAAACATCATAACAGTTATATGTTATGATGTTCTGGCAAAAAAGGAATGTGGATGCTTATATATAACATGTATATACTATTCACAAAGTTGTCTTCCTAATATGCAATTTTTTTAAGTTCATAAATAACATGAAGCACAAAACACTGATGTACAGACTATCAGAGTAAGTGTTCATTATAACGCAACAAAAACAGTTGTTACAAGGCAGGTATGCATTGGATTGTGGTGCTAAAACGTGGCTACACAAACACACCTCATAATTCAGGATTTGAAACGTGGAAAAAAAAACACTAAAATGGATTGTAAGAGGATACAAAAAACACAGCGAGCCTGTTATGACTTTTGACATGATTAGTCGTGAAAAACACCTGAGAGGTGCTTTGAGGTAATCTGATGATTTTGATGATGAGGTTATGCGGGAATATAGGCTATGATGAGATGAGACAAAGACAGGAAGGAGAGTTTCACACCGACAGAATCAAACACCAGCACAATTACATCAAAGGAAGAGGTATAACTGAAGAACTTCCAATACCCTTAAAGACTTTGCTGTTTGTGTCGCTGAAGGGAGCCTTACTCTGAACTGGCTGCGTGTCGGGGTTGTAGAAGAACTTCTCGTTACACATGTTGCCCTCACAGCAGCAGAAGAACACATCTGGGTCCTCCTTCTTCTCCACACACTCGGTGCTGTAAGATAAAGAACAAGCAGAGCTATCAGTCCACAACTGATGTTACATTTTTTTAACCACTCAAATACTGAAATTTCTAGAACACAACAAATTTTTCAATATTTAATCCGTTCACCAAATAACACAAAGATGCACAACAGTACATACTGATTACATACAATTCATTTGATTAATTAAATACATTTAATGTAATTCATAAAAAAAAAAAAAAAAGAAGATTGGCAGCACTTTTCCCCTAATTTTGGGGGATTATTGAGACATGCGTGCTGCAAGGTTTATTTGGATTTTGCTTGGGTTAAGAGAGCAAACAAACGAATAAATGCACATGGGCGGAAAAATGCCTGAGCCAAAGAGATACTTTTTCAAATCTGGCAGCCCACATCAAAGCAGAGCTCTCAGGTTGGCTTAAAGAAGATAAACAAAGCTTAGCAGCACACCAATAATCCTTAAGATACACAAACAGGTGCAAATGAAAAAATAAAAGGGGAATGGATGACATTCCAGAGGCATTTAGTCAGAAAAGTGATTCGGTTACTGTCTTGCGACGCACACGCGCCATTAAGCGGTCGCAATACTTGCTCAGCTACTTAAGGACTTGACATGGCAGAGCAACGTGCATGAAAAAAAACAAAAACATAAATCCTTCTAGCGAGGGAGGTAAACGGGTTCAGCAGCATGTTAGGACAGGAGAAGTGCTGCTTCCTTTGCACGCTATCAAAACAGCTTCGTTCAGGAGAAGCACTTCCTGATCTACCAGCAGTGCTACCTGTCGCATAGGGGCAGATGCATTGATAAACCTGTTTTTAATATCTCCCCTTTTGTGGCTGGAGGTTACAAGGTTCACAACCAAGCCTAAACATGGAAACACGTTTACACAAGACTTTATCTGAAATACTGTGAAATCTTGAGAAGGAAGTATTTGGTTAAATGAATGTGTGCCGTATTCTCTCTGTAATGTGTAGAGCATTGAGCATGGGCAATTTAGACTAAGTTAAACAATGCTTAAAAAAAAAAAAAAAAAAAAAAAAAGTGTATACACTACTGTTCAAAAGTTTGGGGTCGGTAAGATTTAGTTTCTAATGCTCACCAAGGCTGGATTGATTTGATCAAATATTTAAATGTAATTCATTCCTGTGATGGCAAAGATGAATTTTCAGCAGCCATTACTCCAGTCTTCAGTGTAACTTCAGAAAGCATTCTAATAGAAACATTTCTTATTATAACCAATGTCGAAAACAGTTGTGCTGCTTTAAAAAATAAATAATAATAAAAAAAATCAGGATTCTTTGACAAATAAAAAGTTCAAAAGAACAGCATTTTTAAAAAGAAATCTTTTGTAACTTTATAAATGTCTACTGTTCCTGTACAATGTAATGCATCCTTGCTATATAATAAAATTATTGTTTCTTTAAAACTAAATTTTGAATGGTAGTGCCCCTCACACTGCAATATTTCTACAAAATGACAATAATTGTACAAATGCTGATGCAAAACAAGTGAAAAACTGCATGTGAGGAGCAAAAACATCTCTACTACAGTTACAGTGTTGGAAACAGTGATATAAGCAAAAATGAATGATGATCGCATTGGAAGTGCTGGAGGGTTTGACCACGCCTCTATAAGTTAAATCAAAACAATCGCTATTCGGAGGGGACGGCTGTGACAAATGACTAGAGTTAGCACTGAATATGACACTTAAAATGATGCTGATTAATACTGATGGAGGCTACCAGTCAAAAAGCCTCACAAACTGCTGGGTTATCAGTTTGAATCATTTTAACAAATCATTCAGAGCGAGCACTGAATAAACATACAAGATTCACTTACTGAAGCACAAGTCATTGTCTCTTTCATTTATATTTGGCTCAAAATGATTACCTGTCATAGCAGTTGACATCATCAAGCCAGCAGCCTTGCTTTACTATTTGAACTGATCCTGACACATTTAGCCAAGTTGCGAAGCAATGAAGCCTCTTGTCCTTTTCTCCGACGCAAGACTCAATACCGCTGCGGTTTCCTCGGTTCTCCAAGCTGGGGTTGTAGTTGTAAAAGACACACTCTTGTGTCTCTGAGCGGCCGAGAATGGCACCTGGAAAAAAACCCACAGGGGAAGCTGGTTAAGACATGGACTGCCTGCAGTGGAAACAGACACCTGCTGTACTGATCTCTCAGAAGACTTTAACCACAACCCAAAGTGTAAAGCTCAAACACCATCAGTCCGTCACTGATTAGCAGCTGAAAATCAATTTAAGAGATTGGAGGAAAATAACCGACACACAAATGTTTTAAAATAACCCAAAAAAGTGAAATGCACAGATGGGACTTTTGTTTTCAGAAGCTACTCATGAGTTCCCATATGGTTAAAAAAAGAAAGCAAAACACTGTGTTAAAGCAAAACATTGTGGTTAACCAAAAAAACAAAATCAAATGTAAGGTAGTGAGTGTGATTAACACAGAAGGGCCACTTTGAAACAGGATGTGGTGGAGGGCGGTTTCCCAACTTTTTCCTAAAACAACCGCAACTCAGATCGTGTTTGAATATGACAGTGATGTGATGAGTGTTAAGAAATTATCCAAAACACACCCCATGTCATCACCATCACTTAACACACAAGAAAAAAATCCAGAGGATTTCATGAAACAAAATAAAGAGAAAATAGTGGATTGAGATTCTAATCTAATTCTTTACTTGCTAATCCTGATCAAAGACACTAGGGATCTCATGCAGGTTGTGAAAGGTTGCACGACTAAGTCTCTGTATGAACGTTTACATAAGATGCGTTCTTGCACTCAAAAACATTTAGACGGAGCGTAACAGAATAGAATAGAACAGAAAGTCAGGTGTTAGAAGCACTAGCTTGGCGGCAATTTTGCATCTTTGGGAACATTGGTGATCCAGACATTTGGCTTGAGCTGATGTTCACATATTGTGCCACAAGGAACAGTTTATGCTTTGGGCCAAGTATTCGAGGACTGGTAGCACAGGTTTAGTGACAGCACCATGCTGGATACATTTGAATGGAACACATTCTGCATAAAAACACAGCAATAAAGTGATTACAGAAACCTCTTTCAAAAATACATAGGCCTACCACTTCTTACAGGAAAAACAATTAATCATTAAGTAAGTGCATTTCACAACTACATACAAGTAGGGGTGGGCGGTATACCAGCAGACACGATTAACCTGTAGAAATTTGTCAACCGGTGGATGTTTTGGATTATCGTCTCTATCGCTGTTACGCTGACGTGGCTGTGCTACACGGTCACGAAAGCTTATCGTTTGGATGTGTTTTTAAGGATTGTGGTTTAAAAACAAGTGATTTTAAACCACTAAAGCTCAATTAGCAACGAAAGACCACTCATTTTGCTATATGTGCAGCACGCAGAGAGACTGTTTCTCAGTGCTGACTGAGAGACATGCGCACATGAAGCTGCTGCTCATAAAGCGCGTGAGAACTGAACTCTTTTTGCAGACCTTGGGCTTGAACGGTTAAATACACATACTTATGTATCAAAGTGATCATGTATTTGCAAGTAAAGACAGCCATTTATGTCTTAACTTGTGAACGTAAACAGTTCACTAGAGAAAACGCAGAAGTATATTGGATCCGTGCAGTCGGTCTTAAAGTGACAGCATCCAAATTAGGGGTCGACCGATATGTGATTTTCAGGGCCGATGCCGATAGAGCTGTCGCGATAGTCGATATATCGACTTATCGCACGATATATGGAAATGAGCGCGATCATTTTTGGTGCCGCGATATATTGCAACTGATAATTTGTTTTATTATTAAAAATAATAATTAGATTCATTTTTACATTAAAATGAATGTCACCAAGACACCAACATTTTAGTTGATCGCGCGCGCCTCTGTCATCTTGTCTGCACTCTGTGTCGGAGCCTCGGAGGCAGGGCTCAGGCAGCGTCCACACACACACACACACACACAGAGAGAGAGAGCGGACACCGTCAGGTGAAGAGAAGGCGTGAACCAACTGCATTTTAAAGTGTTCTGTTTCGTGACATCTACAGCGAGACAGTTAGGAAGAACGAGTCCAACATGGAATTTATTTCAAAGCCGCAATCTTCAGCTCCGGTGTGGGAACATTTTGGCTTTAAGCCGAACGAGAGAGGAGAGCTAATTAACGTGAACGAGCCGGTATGTCGACTGTGTTTTAAAACAGTAGCAACGAAAAGAGGCAACACAAGAAAGTTAAAATCGCACCTAAAACATAACCATCCCACCCAGTTTTTCAACCTGGGAACAACAACTGCAGCTGGAGTTGGAGGGGGGCCTTCTTTCAGACAGTTATCTGTTGCAGATGCCTTTTCCCGACAGTGCAAATATAAACGTGACAGCGTGAAATGGCGCACACGGATAGCGCAACTCACTATATAGCCAAAGAAATGCAGCCATTATACACAGTCGAAAAAAACAGCATTTGTGTGAGACATTTTAAAAGTTTAAATTGACATATTACTTTGTTTTGATCTAGTTCTTGATACCTTGCACTTTTTTGTTAACGAAAGTGTATTTATTTACTTGTTTTATTTTATTTGGGATATATTTTTTCACATTTCACAATGTCTAAATATTGAATAGAATAAGAATAAAATGTTCTTTGTAACAGTGTACTTGCATTATTATGCTATTATATTGTCATTATGTAATCAGTGGCATAAAATGGTCTGAAAATTACAATAATATCGTTTATCGCAATTAAAGGAGCTGTATGTAAGAAATGTATTTCAATTAATCATAAAATGGCCCTGATGTGTCTCTAGACATTAAGAAATCATGTTCATTTCAAATACTTATATCACTGACAACAGTAGTACGGCCATGATATTGTCATTTAAAAAGTGAAGTTGCAGCCCTCAACTGATGTTGATGTTGTCATCTTGTGTTTTGGCCTGAAGCCCCACCCTCCACCTATCTACCAATCACGAAGTCAGAAGTGTTTCGGCATCCGGGTTGCCAGCTCTGCTCTAGTTGAAAGCTCCTTGTAGCAGCCTATGTTCCTGCTGGATCCTGCAGCCTATCTGGCAACCTCGAGTCAGGGGGGAGGGGGAGGGGATACACAGCTCTACAGTAATTTGAAAGTGATTGCAGTACCAATTTTGGCCACAATCGTACATACAGCTCCGTTAATTTTGGTGCAATTTATCGCACAACAAAAAGTAGTTATCGTGACAGCTCTAGATGCCGATACCGATTATTACAGGTCAAATAGACCGATAACCGATATTTTGAACCGATATATATATATATATATATATATATATATATATATTATAGCTATGTCTGGTGTAAAACTGTAAATTAATGTCAAAATTAAGAATAACAAAGGGTTTCGACAAATACTTTCTTTAAATGATTTTAAACATATCTTTGATTCTGAGAACAGTTAATAATAATAATAATAACTTGTAAAAAGTGCAGGGAGCACCCAGCAGCATTCTGTAAACATTTTGTAAAACTTAAAGACTCTATTTTAATTTTTAAATAAAATTTTAGTAATCAAAAAGCATTTCTAATGAATTAAAATCAAACTTATTCAATTTATTTACAGTTTAACAAAATTTTTATTTTTAGGGCCTTGTGAAAAACCGAACTTTTATTTTGACGGGTTGCCGTGGAGATCTTTGAGTTTCTGGGCCCTATCTTGCACTCGGCGCAAATGACTTAGTACACTGACGCATGTATCATTCCTATTTTGCACCCGCGCAAAGCGGGCTTTTTCCTCCACAGACACACGTCGGTTAACTAAGAAATACACTTGCGCTCCCCGGGGCGGTTCAGCGCAAAGAGGAGGCGTGTTCCGGCGCAAACTTTCCCTCATGCTATTTTGCTGTTCTATAAGACAATTGTGCCACTGACCAGAAAAAACCTAGTCTAAAGTCAGTGGCGCGTTGCGCGTTGTTCATAATGCTATTTTAAGCGCGCATGCTTGGCCATAATCAATGTAGCGGGTGCACAACGCGCATACACTTTGATTCTCTCATCTAAGCAGCAGTTTTAATTTTTGCAAATCATACATTATTACGATAGATAGATAGATAGATAGATAGATAGATAGACAATTTATTATAAAAGCATACATGTAGCTTACACATTTACCCAAATTATCATACGCCTGTTTAACAGAAGTTAATTTGATTGGGTTTCTCCATCCCCAATGTCACTTCTCTGTGTTTTACGGCCCTGACGAGAACGTCGGTCTCCTCGGCTGTGAACCGCTCCTGGCGCGCGCCTGGCAAATCCGCCGTTATAATAGGAATCCGCTTTAGAACAAGCACGCCTGCTCTTAAAGGGAATGTGAGATGACGCTCTGATTGGTTTATTTCACGTTACGCCCAAACCACACCTATGAATAATGAAGCTACTTCAGACAACCCCTTTTAGATTTGCGCCAGGCGCAAGAGGCATTTATCCCGCCGGGAAAATAGCAACAGCGCCGGGATCCGCCCACAAAGGTACTTGCGCTTTGCGCTTTGACACTTGCGTTTCAGATCGTTAAAATAGGGCCCTCTGTGTGTTTATGATATGTCGATAACTTTTCTCAGTTGAAGCATTAAAAAGCTCATGAAGTGACTAAGCGGCTCTGGAGATGATGTTTATGCAATCATGTCCTCATATAATGATGCGGCTGAGGCTGAAAACAGCGCAAGCGTCACGCGTGCTCCAGTGTGTGTGTGTGTGTGTGTGGTAACTGAAATCACGCGTCTCTGCGGCATTCATTTAACGTTAGATACATGCAGGATTCATATTTAAATAGTCTTTTTGCGGTTTGATTTGTACTGACCTGCTTTTTATTAATTCATCAAAAAGTTGACAAATTCCGTGATATTCCGCTTTATACAGTAAATTCCGTTTTTATGGGGGGGGTATAAGACGCATGCGTATTAATGTGTACTATAGCACACACACGCAAGGTCTCTCGCTCTCTCCCTCTCTATCGTTCGCGCGCTACACAGGCACACACACACACGCAAGGTCTCTCGCTCTCTCCCTCTCTGTCATGCGCGCGCTACATGGTTTTGAACATAACATACATACATATTCACGTAGCCTTTCGAAAACG